ATGAACATGATATTGTCTTTAAGATTTTATTGTATTCATTATTTAAACTGTCAAACACCAAGCGGTCACCGGTGACCGCAACCTATTGTTCTTTAATTGTGTCTATAAATACGGTACTCGACGAGTTAATAAGTAAATTAGACAATATGTAAATCTGTTCGTTTTACAAAACTACTAACTAAACCATACATTAAACGCTATATGCATGTGTAATATTAATTAGAATAGTTAAAAAATAAGCGAAACAATAATAACAATAACAAACAATGAATACATTCCTCGTAGTCACCAAATCATGACTACGCAACGTATCAATTGCGTAGCCACTGCGTAGCCTCTGCGTAGCCACTGCGTAGCCACAGCGTAGCAACAGCGTAGCCACTGCGTAGTCTTTGTAGCAATTACGTAGCGGTTCGTATCTGCGACTACGCGATTACTACGCAAGTTGTAGTTTTAAGTAATTTAAGTTTCAAAACTCGGTGACTAGAATAGAATGAGAATAAATGAAACGTTCCTATTCTAATTAGAATAATAACAAGTAAATGAGCTACTTATTGCTATATATAATTTTGAAGGTAAGTAATAAATATGTATATCTTTTCAAATATGTATATTTTCAAGAACCTGATACACTTAAAACTACAAATTGTTAGATACCTATTTAACTTAAACTGAGTGTAACTTTTCTCTAAAAGTTAAATCTAATCTAATCTAACACTCAAAGCTTAATTCCTTCGTATTAAGTATAATGGCATCCATAAAAGAATAATAATAATTATTTAAATGTAACTTCATACTTTTATCTTTTTTTTAATGTGTTTTCGTTGTACTTTATGGTCGGTGATTCTGTATATCGGATACGACCCGCTAGGTGGCGCTGTAAACACTTGTCTCGCATTGATAGTGGAACAATGCGGTTCCCACTGGCCGCCTGCGTCGCGCGTCGTTTCCGCACCTTCACATTTGAATTCCGAGCACGAATTGAGATGGTTACGTTTAAAAGGTAACGAAGCAATGAAATGTAACTGGCACACACATGTAGCTTCTAATTTTAAATTTCGGTTTAGTATTGATTGATGCAAATTTGGAATGTTTTTATTTTTTATTTACAGCTCGATGTTTGTTTTTAATATTCACCATGAAGAATATGAAAAAAATAGGTAAGTACAAAAGTAATGAAAAAAATATTAACTGCAAATGTTTTTTTTTTATATATTTTTGATGGGCCGACGTTTGACCACTATTTCGCCTGGTTGTAAGCGATGATGCGGTCTACGATGGAGCACGTCGTCCCGTTAGCAACCTATTCAATCGTGCCTTGAAGACACACACGACACCCTTCAGGAAATACAGACTCTGGCAAAGAATTCCAGCCCTTAGCAGTACGCACAAGGAAGCTCGTTGCTGTGGTACCTAACTATTTACGTACATTAGTCCTCAGTCAACATATTAATTAAGGTAGTAAGGTTCCTCATTCAATCATGAATTGACACAGATTGTACCTACTATGTACCTATGGTAACTACGACAGTAAGTAGAATAGTATTAGACAAAATTGAAAAATAACCTAAAAAAAGAATCATAGCTTAATTTCTCTTCAATTATAGTCTATGGGACGGCGGCCGGTTTTTGTGGGACATCAATAACAATGCGACGGACATAAAACACTGGACGTTTATAATTTACCGATTCTAATAAATAAAGATTTCAGTCCTTACAGAACGGGGCCACACGAAAAACGACCGCCCGGGTTGCATGTATTAGAATTCCCAACTCTATTGTATTTTACCATACATTCTTTTTTGCACCTCTCTCGAATACATTTGCAATTTTTATTCTGACTGTATTACCATGGAGCTGTCAGCCCTTTTGGTTTTTATTGTCTTTTCTATGTTGAACTAGATTATGGATTTGTCCGGAAACTTAGTTATTGTACCTAGTAAGTAAAATGATAGCCTAGTGCTTGATTGTGGGTAACGACACGTTCAGTTAGAGCTTAAAATTGAAATATAAATTATGTTTTCTGAATGCCTATGGAAGTAATCATCTACAATATAATTAGGTGCGGTATTTAATTAATTTATTGTAACAAACAGTCTTGTTGTATTAAAAGTTGACTATCTTCTATGATTGAGTTCCAGAAAACTTATGAAACCTATTTTTTCTACATTCACTTAAAGTTAACGTTTACTGTCTCTTTGTTTCTCATTTTAAAATAAAAGAACAAGTTTGACATATTTAGATCGAGTTTCTAAGAATCTGATTACGGATGTAGTCCAGTAATTATTTGTATTAAGAACATGAATACATGGTTTCCCTTGATGTGTAAACAAAAAAGGGGACAACCGTGTGTCGGGGGGCTGGGGGGCGTGGCCAGGTGTCACTGGCAGAACTGCTGATCTTATCTTTAGATAGGGATGGACGCAGACCCGCTCTGTACTTACCTCGCACCGTACCGACCCTCATAATATCGCACCCTTACCAACAAACAAAACAGTAAACTTTTAGAGATGCATTAACGTTAAATTCTGGTCACCTTTATTGAGTAGGTGGTTTTCTCTGTTTGGTTGGTCCTTAGTTTACCTTCATCTAGTTCCATAAATCTTTAGCTCCTAAGCGCATGTTAGGAAAGAGCCATATCATAAAGCAGTTTGTTCTGTAAGCTATTTATAAAGAGTCTCGTATGAGAACTGGTACTGTCAAGACGAAATTGCTGTACTTCCTTATTTGGATGGCACGTTGGATGTTATGTTACGTCATGATTTTATATTTTCTATATGTAGTAACGATGTTATTCGAGATGATATATACAAAATGTTTTACTACTCCAATTGATAGTAAAATAAAACACGGTTTACAATACGTATTAATGTCATAATCAATTATTTGTATAGAACAGCCGGAGCAGCGCAGCGCATGCGCCGAGAGCGCGGCGTCCGTGCGCCGGCGCATTAACTTAGCCAGCCAATTACTCGCAGTGTTCTTGGTGTACTCACGCCGGTTCATTCCTCCACCACTGCAATATGTTAACATATTTTTTTAATTTCTCCAACGGACAGCTAAAGAGGCAATCGCGAGTTCATGCGCAGGAGTGAGATTTATAATAAGAAAACGCTCCTACCGCGCATGCACCATAAGGATCTATAAATCTTTTAAGTACTGGGTCGGCCAATCCCTGTTGAGAAACGATAAATCATCCCCTCAGACAGTAAAGTCGAATCGAATAGTATCGCGGTCTCGCTCACACTCTGCGGTGCTTATGCCCTTTAGATCATTTATCATTTCTTTCTCTCGTTTCTTCTCAATGATAAATTCAATTCTCTTTTGGAATATGATTGTTCCTCGTTTTGTTATTGTGTGGTGTTTTATTGTGGGTATCGTCACGGACTTAGGTTTTTTGATCGGAATCCGATCGAAATGATCGCGAGAATTGGATTTCCATTTTAGATTTCGTGATTCGAGTGATCAATCTTTTGACTTTGTATTTGGAATAAATCGGTCTCTTGTTTACGACCAGTCTCGTAATAAAAAACATAACAAATTACTGCGCCATTTTAAAATCGTGATTAATATAATATAATTGTGTCTAAGTCAAAATGAAATGATGCCAATGTATAAGCATTTAAACACGTTTTATGAATGAGGTAGGTATAGTCTGTCATTGTTACAAAGGTGCTCAAGTTTGGGATAAGTTAATACTTTTCAAGAAAAATATTTAAGGGATAATTAGGTGTCCAAAACAAAGTAATATCCATGAAATCGAAATATTTGTTTATTTTTATTTCTTGCTATTTACAGGGCTGTAGAAAAGACAACAATTTCATCTTAAAATAACTTAAAGTACGTAATGTTTTTCAGTCAAATAGGTAGATAATATTATTATAGGTACACTTTAAACTTTCACTATCTAAAACTTCGGTCCGTGAAAAAATAGCACTATGTTCAATATAAATATACATAATATATGTAGTTCAAGAGTCCGCAGCACGATGAAGGAGCAACACTTGAGTGAAATATACAAACAAATCAAACCCTTATCTCTATTATCACTGGGCATTTCCTTAAATATATATTTTACAGCGTACTATCTAACTTAACATTAACAATTTACATACATTTTACAACCTATAAAATCGTAGTTTTATTAGACTTCGGTGCTTTGGCCATGCTGATCATTATAATTTTATGTTACAAGTTTCCTTTAATATTTGCTATTATAGGTACCGCTTCTGTCGCTGACAAAGTTGTATGTATTTTCTTGTGGAGTACAGAGTATAAATGTACAAGGCTGAAAGGTGTGAATATTTAATTATTCTCGTATCGCAAAACTAAAATTTCAGACAATACGTCTGTTTGTATGCGTCTCCACAGTGCACAAAGACTGTCATAAATCACTGTCAACAATTGCAGAAGGTTTACAAAAATATTCGTCGCAGTGTTACTGTGCCCGTGAACGTCACAAATGCTACAAACACACAATACTTACTTATTCAATAAAGGAATCGTTTTCCAAAAAATAATAAGACACTTCTCATCGTTAAATTGTTTACAGGAAATATATGACATTGTGTAAAACATTCAACTAGCGGTGATTGTTTACAACTCACTTGTTTTACAGTAAACAATAGAACTTGTGACACGAGGTCCCATTGTTGCCTGTTTACATTGTCACCATTCTATCAAACAACTTTTTCTTAACAGTAGACCCAAATATTAAATATCTCTCGGACGGCTGACGTTTGGCGATGATTTAGAAATGGTCGGATTGACTATGGACTAATTACATTTATAATAAGCGTAACACATTAAAACAATACTGGTCCAAAGCGCTTTAGTGAACTTTTCATTCCACGTCGATTGCGGACTCGCTCGAGTACCAATCGGCTTACAATTAAATTGATTAATTAACCTACACAAGCTAGAGCCATGTAATTAAGTCGTCGTTGGTGCTCCCATTAGCTGGAGTTCGTCGAATGAAGAGTTCGCTAAGCGCGATGCGGTCAGTAGGCGGCGGCGGCTCCCGAGTGGTGCATCAAGTGGTGATGGTGGTAGGTCTCCTGCGTGGGACACCACCAGTCAGGTACACCGTGCGGCATCGTCGGTGCTGGTTGTTGGAACTGTGTCCAGTGACCACCGAAGCCCAGTTTGTTGTCCATGACGCCGTTCCCACCGATGTTGGTCAGATGTGGGGCTTGGTTGTGGTGGGGCGGCGCCGGTGGTCGCTCGTAAGGTTTCTGATCGTGAGGGTTAAGGTATTTTTCGTTTAAGCTCTCTAGTTTATCTGTGATAGAGGGGTGGTGATGTGGATGGTGCTGCGGCGCAGGCGCCGGCGGCGGGGGCAGGGGCGCAGCAGGGCTGGCAGCGCCTGCGGTTACGCTGACACTGCCGGCAGACGAGGAGTCGTCACCGTCACTGTCATACCGCGGGGAGGCATCACCAGCAGCGCCGTGGACCTTCATGTGCTTGCGCAGCGACGAGGGGTGCGTGTACGACTTGTCGCAGCCGTGCACGCGGCAGTTGTACGGCTTGTCAGACGTGTGCACGTGTGAGTGTTTCTTCCTGTCCGAAGAGTTCGCGAACCGTCTGTCGCAGCCCGCGTACTCGCATTTAAATGGTTTTTCTCCTGGTAAACAAATAAATAACTTTAATTAGTTTGATGTACATGTAATAGGTATAATTCGACATGAATCTACAAAATAGGCCTACATTACGTTTTTCAACAACTTAGGTTACCTACAAGTATTTCTTCATGGTCATTTACTCATTAGTAAATTTAACCAAATAAAACAAATAAAAATCGGATACATAATACCAATCAGCATCGTAACATAAGTACCTACAGCAATTAGCTGTATCTCTCCTCTATTATAAAGTCACAGTTAAGAAAACACGGAGCACATGCACGAGTACGCGAATGTCCAATCACATCGTAAATAACAAGATTTGCTCGTTGTTTATAGTTTACGAGCATAAATAAATATTCACAACAATTGCACGGGATACTTAACACGGCCATAAATCATATTTATAAGACGACTTTGTCACATTCCCGTAACAAAGCCTGGAGTAGCTAACCGCGTGCCACTTTCAACTTTATTGTCACGACAAATGATATATTTTTGTTCTGACATCTCAATAAGCCGTGGAGCCTTGTGACAAAGGCAGCTCAACATCCGTTTTACTCCTGATAACTTGATGATGAACGTGAACAATGGAGATAATCTCCTCTGAGCGGTGTTATCACGCCGGAGCGATGCTATCTTATTTACAAGAGACCTGTTCTCAGTGCCCTTCTTAACTTTGACTTCTTTTTAATAGTATACTACAAATACAGGATATACGCATAAGTTAAAGAAGAAATAGTTTACTAGGCGTTTGTGAACTTGCTGAACTAGATTATAATTGCTTCTTGGTTCTTGAATAGTTTGATGTGATTTACAAGGAAATTCAGCAGACCACATAACCATATGCGTTTTCCACTACATGATTCCACGGTGACCCTATTTTTTGCAGATTTTTTGTGTCTAGTCGTGCATTGATTGTAACATGTTCACCGAATCGTGTGAGATGATATTCAATAAAATACATTACAAGTAGGCAGACGGTTTGGTGACCGCATCACAATGTAACATTACCATTATATTGTCGTGTTTACAAATAAACCTCTTCGGCTGTAATCCTCTACATTGTGTTTGAAATATGAAGATTTTTGAGGAGCCACAGATGCTAATCTCAAGTGTCTGTTAACGCTACAATAATAGGGCTCTTTAGACGTTCCCTTACCGCAGCCGTATGAATGGATCACACGTTTTCAATAGATCGATACTTCCTTTATAGTTCAGTGTTCCATTACAAAATATTTGTGCTTTATACTCTATCATCCATAATACCAATTCAAACTGGAATGCGAACTATGATTGTCATAAATTAAATCTCCATGTTAGAAGCATGAATGAATGAAATGCATTTCAAAAGTGTCTTATGTCCTCACAAATTATACATATCTATTAACATTTTTTTAGTATACTAGAAGACGGAAAAATAAACCATATTAATTGGTACTTGTGACGCTAGTAATAATTTTAACGAAAATCTATACGACGAATCAGAATCTAAGATGCAGAGATATCCTAACTGACGCCAAGATGAAGAAGGGGAAATAGAGAAATAAAAATCACGGTAGATCAGCCAATAAAAACGTCTCGGCTCAACTAATGAGGCTAATACGAGATAAAAGAGTCCAAAACATGTGTCGCCCGTCTAATTACTAATCGGGCGTCTCATCTCCGTCGCTCTGTCTCCACACAAAAAACGATCGGACACAAATTCTATTTCAATTCAACGCTTCTTCTGCGCACGAGCCAATCTCATCTAACAAGGAAGATTGTTAGATTACCTTACTAAACCAAAGAAAATGAAAATTAGAACAAAAGATTTTCCCTAAATTATCAACCACATTACCAGATTCCCAGTCAAGAATTAAGAAATTTAATTTAGAAAATTAAGTGTAGATAATGATCTGAGTGCCTATCTGAATATTTTAAATTACATCTTTATTTGAGTCAAGTTTATTAATAGCTACGTAAACCGAAATCATGTTCGATATGGTTTCTTTGAACGTTTAGTGTCAAAACAAAAACAAATCGAACACCAGTTGGGAATGCACTTCGTGAATTCGTCGCGTTCCACGTCGGGACACCGGCTAGGGTCAGATGTTTATCTTAAACGGCTGTATCACCCACAGGAGACACTTTTTTGTTACTATATTATCGACGTGAAACTTTATATCACGTTTTTTTCGTGGCTCCATACTTTTTTAACCGATTCAATCCATGTAGAAGATAACGATTTACATCGGTAAAACAAACTTTTTGGAGCAAAATGTAATTTCAAGCTACTGATTTGTATTTTTAAATCAATTTAAAGACATTAAACGGTTCGTAAGTGAAGCACGAATGAATCCACAGTTGGCAGAACGCCTGGCCCGAATTACTCTGCAGTATTGAGTTACAAATCGCTACTTAAGTGCGCTCCGCTGTGAAAACAAGCTTTTTAGAAATAGCACGAGTGATGTGTAACCCGACTCACTCGGCCTTTGCACCCAAATTGTGGTAAATGGCTTTAGGTGAGTTTAGAGAAAAAACAATCGGGCACCGGATATCAGGTTGCGGAACGAAAATGTTGTCGCACAAAGCGCTATTTATTACGATTTAGAGTATAATCAAATGAATCTTTAGCTCGTGTACCGGCGACTACCAGCCGCGGGCTTGTCATCGCCTTGAATAATAATTGGGCGACATATGATATTCGTGCACCTGTTCTCGGGACATGTTCATTAGATATTAATACAGAATTATCTTATATCACCGTAACGCCGCAACGCTAATAATGAAGATAACACAAACTTTGAACGAAATCTCAGATCTGGGCCCCCTAAGGTGAATGTACAGCCTGTGAGGATGGGTTCTATTTCAAAACATTTTTTCTTGCTTCAATACCTGCTTAACATACGCTAGGCTGGGGAGTAATTAATGACATTAATCATCGATTCATCATTTGAAGCGTGAGTGTGCCGCACATTGTTTCAATCTTTATTAAATGCTACATATCGAAGCTAATTCAATCTCAGATGGAGAGGCGGCTAATAAGCGGTGGATGACTGGCCGATTGCTGACATAGCCGCCTCACCGCCAGCCCGATAGCCGGCCGCGCCAGACATGACCACGCGCCATGTTCTGTCTGACCCACAATACTAATCGCTACATTCAATACGCCATATCTAGAACACCGACCATATTCAATTATAACAATTCGAACATGACTATTCCGAACACCAGCAACATTCTGAAATTACTCTGCGCTATCAATAATGTCACAATAACGACTGATTGACGACATCGACAGCTCTTCCCCGAAAACTGTTTTCTCTCGCATGTATGAGCAGTTTCGTACAGCGTGCATAATGATTTATGATGTACCTTTTATCCGAAACGTATTTCGAATTAGAAAGATATATTAATATCTTCATTTTTTCCACTTCTCAGAGAATAAGGGCCCTCGTCCGGGGAGCACAAAAAGAATACTCGGGGTCGGGCGAGCGCATTCGGCGCCCAACGACCGTGTGACAAGGTGCTTTATGCGGACGATTATGAGCAGACCGAATAATGTTCCGATACCCGATAAATATCTGCCAACTCATACAAAAGCATCCCAATAAAAATATAATAGTAAATGTAGCAACAACACGGGCCACAAACTGCACAGTCATATCTTGCTGATAAATATAAATTAAAATGAAAACGTATAGCTCGCGAGGGACAGGGACGGCGAACGTCCGTGAAAGAAAACAAATTAAAACTGATATAACATTCAAATGCGCACGCGCAGGTTAGTCGAAGCCTTGTGGAAAATCGAACATGTAGCGAGCACTGGCCAGTCGTCGTATGAGGCCTTTTTTGTCGCGCTGCAGCAGCGCGTGATTCACGAGGACGGCACCGGCCCGTGGGACCGGCCGCTTTCATTACCTATTACAATAACTCACTCATTGGACCTCATTTAATACTGTTGCTTATTTTGCGCCAATTAAAAATACGTACTGAATAAAATAACCATTTTAATTGATCCTTGTATTCCCATAAGTGTCGACCGAGTCGTTTACTGTCGTCATAACTCGTGCAAGAACTATTTGCGAATTCAATTCACGATGTTGTAGTACCAGAAATAGTAGTAAGTGAAACATAATTACTGCTATCAGCTAAAGATAGTATCAACAAGTGATCGGTTTTTGCTAGACTTTCAATAATTTATTACACCTTGACATTTTTATGTTTTGCAGAGTTAGATGAAATAATGATACGTTTTCTTGTGTGGCTATGTAATGTACCCGTGAATTAAACTAACTCCCCATTGTTCAGTCTGCGACTGAGGGTCCATCTGTCTTGCTGTGATAGGTATCTGCTGAGTTTGAGAACTATATGTAACCATGTTTTAGGATAAATAGCAAACGCTGTCACCTAAACATTTCCTTTCGCCTATTTATCGGAAACAACATGGAACATCATTTTAGAAATATTTCCCACTTGCTTTTGTTATTGGATTGAATATACTTTCAAATGTCTTTATGACTTTTATTAGAGGTCAATTAAAATAAAGATCGAAATCGAATCTATGAGATGTAGGTAGGTACACGAGTAACAAAACATTATTATGACCTCTACTTATTTTCTCATCGAAGCTTTGATCATTTTGTTCCCAGACGATTTTGTAGATAAACAATATTGTACAAGGCTGAACATAAAAAAGTACAAAACACCTAAGCAGGCAGGGCACGCTCGTCAATCCTTACGTCAAGCGTTTTGACAGCCCTAACCGGCATCATCGCTCCTCTCAGATAAAAAATATACAAGAAATAATATCAGAAACTTGACTTCTCAAAAAATTAGGCGGATGTTAAAACTAATCCAGGCTGTATTTTGGCTATACGAAAATAAGTTCAATCCAAATAACATTAAATAATTTATGATTTCCTATAAAATATCTCGAATATACTACTAACCCCAATCCAAATAAAAACTAAACCGTTTTGAAGTGTATTATTTGATAATAATTAAGTATTTAATTATA